TGACACCCTTTTAGAGATATCACTTTCATCATCTCAATCTCCAGGAGTTAAACTTTTACCAGGAGACTGACTTGTTGACTCAGAATATGCCGATGACATAGTTCTATTTGGTGAAGACAGTCTTCTGATCACTATAATCAACAATGCAGGCATGTTCGACATGCGATTCTCCCCATCGAAGTGCGAAATGGTGCTTCAGGATTGGGCTGCGTCGGTACCTGAACTAATCAGTGAAGTAGTTGAGCGTGTTGACTGCTTCACTTATCTTGGGAGTCTCATCAGCCCTTGTGGTCTGATGGGTGACGAAATCTCATCACGGATACAGAAGGCTCGTCTAGCTTTCGCCAACTTGCGCCATTTATGGCGTAGGCGAGATATCCGTCTAGCAACAAAAGGACGGGTATACTGTGCAGCAGTCCGTTCCGTCCTACTTTATGGCAGTGAAACATGGCCGATAAGAGTAGAGGATATTCGTAAGCTTTTAGTATTCGATCATAGGTGCTCTTGTAGCCAAACCACAGAGGACCGGACCCAAAACTTTCAGTTTCTCTCTCGAACGCTTAACGTCTAGACCACTGAACAGCCATCAGTGGTTTGCATCTCAAACTTCAGTCAGTTCACGATATTGCGAAACCCTCATCTATTGCCTACAATGGATAATTGTCTCACACCCGATATGATTGGACTTCATTTGTAACGGCTTATCACTACAACTGCAAGAATGGCATCTTGAAGCTAGTCATTGATGAATGGATAACTATTATTAGTGGAGTGTTTGTGTATATTGTAGAATTCTCATTGTCTTAAAGCATACGATATAAACTATGAAAATCTCACAAACCGTTTCGTAGTTGAGGTCACAACGTTACAGATTTAATAACGTAAATATATCAGTATTCGCTTTCATTATTCTATATAGACATTCACAATGAACTTAAAATTATTATGCATGTGAACCCAAATATCTCTAAAAGATGTAAATAAACTGTGTTGAACTAATTAATGAAGAATTTGTTCACTGTTGACAGTATGTTGTTTGCACTACGGACAGACATAAGGATATGACCACTTAAAAGACTTAATAACATGTAAAAACTGTAGTAGATAAATAACTCCCTCGCTATACTGTGCATAAAAAATACTTCAAAATGTTAAATTAGCATAGCACAGACCTTTTTAAGAAATATGAAATTATTAAACACCTTGTTTCATACGCATGGGAATATCTCCAGTGATTTCAAATTTCAAAAAAAAAACGTCATAAGAAGTCAAATGATCTAACTTGATTGATAAGATTATAAATTTGCATTCAAAATTAAAAGAGTATCTAATATACCGTTTTTTTAATTGATCACAAAATTAGTTCTTGAAAATCCAATAAGAAAAAAATCATAAATCAAAATGCGGAGAAATTTTAACAGCTCACTTGTTTTTGAAGTACGTACTAACAATGTTGGCTATGAGGAGAATGAAAGCTTAATGACCAAGTCATCCAGCTCAGAGAACACTTTACCTCCAAGAAAGTTTCTAGTCATTGTCAATAATACAATCTTAAAAGAGTACATCTAATACTCTGTGCAAATTGTTCATTAATCCATAGCGAGAATACTAACAATGCTTACAGCCCAGATTATAAATGTTACATTGACATGGTTATCTTACTTTTACATCGTGACGATCCAGTTGAGCTACATTGATTGGAGTACTTTTTCTTCGTGGTTGTATTATATCAAGCAGGTCAGACAGACAGTAGTACTGTGGTGTGGGTTACTTATATACACATAAGTAGTATATGGTGATGGTCAGGCATAGAATGTATTTTGCCAGAAGATCGATAAAGAAAGAACAGGAACGAAGCGCGATCGGTATGAAAATGCATGAACAATGAAATCAGGGAAGATGGACTGATATTTGCAGAAGGAACAGTCAAGATTGAGACAATTAATTGTTATTTGCCAAATTAAGTGTTTACTGTATGGTTATCAGATTTTAGTGAGATAGTCTGCAGTTTGTGCTTAAATACATTCGATTGTCCCCACTCATCTGTTCTGTTCACTACAGTACGACCAAAAATAACCAATCTAAAGCCAATGTGTTGTGGTGTGAAACGACAAGATATCTAAAATATTAGCCAGCTTTATCACTTGATACATAAATAGAGCTTTGGAACAGCAAAAATACGTAAACCAAGTCACGTCGAGACCTGTTCATGTAAGTATTGACTAAGTCAATATACTAAAGCAAATACCAACGTTCAACTGTAATCAAATTCAATGACATGTAAACATCATTTGGCTACGTTGACCAAGAGGTTTAGTGGTTGTGTTTGTCGTTGAAAATGATTGTTGAAAAGCATGTAAACCTCCTGAGGGCTATTTACTTGAACACCTTTAGTTGAATTGAGGCTGTTGAATTGTGGCAACTTTCATCAGCGTTCTCCAAGGTAGCTCACTATTCCCATCTTTACTTACTTTCGTTATAAATATTCGCATAAATCTTCGTTTAAATTTTCAAGTATATGTCTTCTACTCGGAAACTCAGTTATCAATCTAGGATACTCAGATGAGATAATTGTGCTAGATAAGGATAATTAGAAAGCCGTCTTCCAAATGCCTAGAGCAACAATCCAAGGGTTTATGGATTACTTTTCTCGCAATTTTAGGACTGGACTGCAACATTACTTAGATTGTTCATAGCGAGTGAAGTTGATTGAGTTAAACATATCATTTATATCGGAATTCTCGTCAGCCCTGATAGGCTAATGTCCGTTGAAATCTCGGCAAAGCTTTAGAATGCTCGATTGGCTTTTGTCAAATATTCTACTATAGCATTTTCACTTTAAATTATATACCTCATACTTACAAAATAATATCGGTTTTTCTTATGAAAAGAAATATAATATTTTGGTGTATTTATCAAAACATTCGTGTGAAATAAGATACAGAAATTCAGTTCATTAGATAGACCGATATCTGATGACACGATAGGATTGATACATCAAATGAATAAAAACTTTCTACACTTATAAGAGACAGATTAGAAACATTTCCATCGATACAAAGGCTGTTCTTTTTTAAATAATAAACTGAGTGTACACAGTAAGCATAGTGTAGTTAACGAGTGGCTAAATCACTAAGCTCTTAAGTTCATGTTCTTACTACCTAGTTCAGTTATATCAGTCAAGTAAAAAATTTACCATACCCTTTGAAAGCAAATGTAACCTCAAAGTCAGGCGCAGACTACTTGTTGGGGATGTCAAATCCCCAGAACTTACTTGGTAAATGGCTTAATCTTGTAGTTTTATTTTGAAAATTTGAATTTAGCTGTTTTCGCGCCAAAAGCGCTCTTTTTACCTTCACGTCATATTTCCCACCTGTAAACTATCTTAACCGTTATTGGTCCATTGTTTCTTTATGTGTGCTATTTACTAATGATGCTCAAGGACAATTTGTTACTGTATAAATGCGCTTGACTTTTCCCCTTATTTGATTGCTTGTACTCGGCTGCTTACGGAATATATATATATATTCCCCTACTTGCCTTGGACTTCTTCATCTAGTTAGCGGGGCCTGGGACAACCGATTAGAATAGCTTATCGTGTCATTGGCTTTCGTTCGTTACCGCGGAATCGATTTAGTGTCAAGCATAACACTACTAAGTTAAGCCAATCGACATAGCTTTCCAAACTCTACTCATACATACTCTACGCAGTTACCAAACGCAATAAGTTTCATGCGGCAGCTAACAAATTTTACGAGAAAGAGGACACAACCCATATCTGCCATAAATCTGCAACAAATTAGTAGATCAACGAGCGAGTTCAATGCAGCCTACAGACCCAAGGCATCTCGTAAACCAAACGCAGATTGATGCAAACCCAATTTGAAAAACCTTAATGTTTTAACTGCATTTAAACCAAGTGTCAGATGTTTTCATACTTCAAATCTTTGAATTATTATATTTACGCAACCACATTGAGGACATTCGGAATCTACTGGGTTCTTCCATAACTATTCATCAATTCAAACATTTCTCTCTGAAAAACAAGTTCATCTCGTTTGTAAAAGTCATTTTACCTCATATTCTTATCTACATTGGTCAGGTAATTTTTGCATAATCATGTTATATACTCATTTTTCTCTTCGCTCACGTCCAATAATACACGTACGCAGATATCTTTAATGTGAATATACCATTTGTTATGTAAAACAATCTTTATAGCATTCTGAATCACTTATTACAGCAATGGTTTTATGCGCCATTCTGATTGATCATTATTATTCAATCCTGTGGCTATTATTATTTATATACGATAATTTTGATGTATAATCTGCTCGTATATTGTCAGTTTATTTGGCGGTCTAGCAACACAAATGTGCATATGAGTCATCAGTCTAAGCAATCGAGCAAACCTCTTCCCCTCTGGAAGTAGCTTGGTCCAAGATATCCCCGAAATTCATTATCACTAACGTGCATTAGTCAAAGAATACATAATAATTAGATTGATCAAAGTGGTGAGCCCTTTGGTTAAGAAATGCTACAAGATCCAGTGGGAGAGAATGTCTTTTTATTTCCATTTTGTGTGTACTTTTATTCTTTTGCTGAGGTAGTTTAAAGACTATTTAGCAGTCCGTTAAAAAGTATAGATGAACATAGTGAACATTTGCATGATGCCACAAAAATAGTGTCACTAACGAGTAAAATTTACAAAATGATTACTTCTGCATCTTTGTATTGACTAATTTCGCCTACACTAGTAGTATCTACAATGCCGAATTTCACCAATACCTAGAATGGCAGGAAATATGGTGTTAGCATTTTCTTAAAATGGGCCCATAGTTTACTAATATTCTGTTTGCAGCTACTCAATTGACAAAAATATACTTTCAAATACATTGAGGATTGAGTGAATTGTTTGTAATAATAAAATAATATATTCGTAATATCCCAGTAAGTAGAAAACTGAATTGTTTCTAAAACAGCAACTTACACGATGCCATTAAACGATAAAAATTCTATTTTCTACTTATTAGGATATTATTTTATCATTACTCTTTATTAACATAAAAGAAAGAAAACGTAACGATTAAACTGAACTGATGCACTATTTACATATTTTAAAATCAATTTTTTAAAAAACATCTTCAGAAACTAGATTCAATAATATCAGTATCGTCAATATGCGTTTTTTCGACAGACTGATGACCTATGTAAGAGTCCACGGCAACTTCAGAATCACTTAAAGATTTAGTGAAAGCATTTTCTTCCGAAACTGAATTAAGATCTTGGTGATTGGGAGATTTATGGATTTCAATTGAATCTGACATGGGTTCACCTTCCCCAGTTTCATTTATATTGTTTGAATCAGTAACATTTAAAATACCAGATTTTGCAAGTACCTAAACGATCAGAAAGATATAACATTACAATCAATTTTTTCAATAAGCAGAAAATCTATAGCTGCACATAAAATTTACACACACAAGAATCAGATATCTTTCTCTTGCTACTTATATCTACAATTTCATGGATATTTTCTGGGAAAAATTCTAAGGAATATTTCATATCAAACAGCATATTATAAATAATCAAAACTGGAGATAGAATATTCAGTGAATAAACACTATACTGGATTAAATCATGATGAAAATTTAACATAAATTACAGTTCTGTGCGAATACTTTGGAGGTAGAATGAATGTTTGAAAAGGAATAACACCATTACATACGACTTAGTATTTCAATTGATAACCTTACGGGCGTATCCTTCTCACTAACTACAAGTGATAATTATTATTGATACATTGTTACATTCGGTTTTTGAGCAGGTTAGAAGCAGAAATTATACATATCAAACAAATAAAACCAAAAAATAGTAACTATTTGATAAAAATACAGGTTAATCTACTGACTAACTACCAAATACGAACAGCAAATTTGCTATATAAGGCTTATGCAGTCGTAGAACGCTTACTGTTTTACTATCTATGTAGATCTTGAACTGAAGATCAACTGAAGTGTCAACAGTTGGTTAGAAAAGCCATCTAGTTTGAAAAACAAGATGTCAACAAAACTAGCATTGCTCTCTAGTGGGTGAACAATTGTGGTTGAAGCAGAACTACACAAGATTATAATGTAGCGCTTGCTAGATACTAAATTTAAATCTATTCTAACCAAGGCCAGTTTAGAAAACTATCAAAAGTGATATTTTGCAGAGAACCATAGAAATGTATGAATGAACCTTAGAAGTACAAGAATGAACCTTACAAACAGAGGACTTTGTAATCAAAACCCGATAGCAACAACCATGATGATACTTTGGCGGTATCTGACAACAGACTCAAAACGTGTTCTGGAAAAAGAGTAAAGCTTCCAGAACACCTAAACGATTACTGCACGTAAGATACTACATAGCATTTTGTTTCGTCTCGATTTTTCTTTGTATTATGTAAAAAAAACTAATTTTAACATGCTTATATATATATATATATATATATCAAAAAAGCAGATTTTTTTGTTTGCTAATATGCTCGCTTATGTGTGTATATACTTATACAGCCCAGGTGCTTTCCTTAGAGGGTCAATCCTTGAGCCTTTGAGCCAGAAGTCAAATTCACAAGGCAGTGGAGCAACGTTAGGAGATCCGGTCCCTAGGTGGCCTATGACCAACAAAAAGTTTATATACCATTTTTTTACTCAGGATCCTAGAGCCCATAAGCAACATTGGTTTAGAATAAGGGTTTTCCAGCTTCGCTAGGTGAATCCTCCGTACCCACCAACCCCGACATTCGCATTTTTTCCTTTGAATTTCGTAAACAATACTCCTGCCGCGAGAAGCCAATGAATGGGACTTCTGTGGCAATGTCTACTTACGCATTTTGAGAGGGAGAGCGGTCTTTCCCCAGCCTCGGGCATATCGGGGCATTTGGAAAAACCAGAGTTACCTATTCGGTCACACTGAGTGCAGAAGTTTATAGACGACTTCTCCTTGGTAAGATAACCTTCCATAAGATACAGTTCGACTTAATATCATATAAAGTTAGTTCGAGTATTTGAAATTACGTGTCTATTGTAACATTTTTCCGCTTTTTATAATGTTTAAGAGGGACAACGAAATGTTATATTCGTTTCGCTTATAAAAGAGATTCCCTGCATTTATTTGTGTTCGAAGTTGAAGAACAGTACACACTACTATGCATATTCGTAGATTCAACACAACTACTATGTAAACGAATATACAGAAAGTTCAGTAAAAACTCAAAACTACCAACCTGCTGAATTGACTTCATATCTACTGTGTTAGCTAAATCATCTTCGTTGATGTCCATACTAATATCCATATGTATATAATTCTTAGCAGGATCAAAATCTGTTGGTGATTTGACGTCACCGAGATCTTCGTTTAATTCTTGTCCACACTGTTCAAAGTGTTCCTTAGGAGGAATTTTCGTTGACTTCCTTGAAGATAATGGAGTAGAACGATAAAAATTTGAATTGAATGGTGCAAATGATGATCTCGAATTCAACGAAGTTCGAAAATGATGAAGTGGAGTTTTTAAAATATTTGATTCTTTGTTGCTTTCCTCATTATCATGAGATCTTGATGGAGTTTTCTGAGTTATACTTATTTCTCGCAAACTTTGTGCAATTGAATCCTCTATAGTTATGCATTCTATATCAGCAACTGGTGCACTAGGTGTATCGAGGCACTCATTATCCGATAGATCATCAATAGGAGAATTCCTGATTTCCAGAGATCCATTATCATTTTCCTGCTGTACTTCTACAACTTCAGTAACATCTTGTAACTGACGTCCCAGCTTTGGCGAGAGAGGTCTATTTACCCTGTCAGTATTTACAGGACTACTTCGATTAACTGATTGGTGCTCAGCAGTAGTGAATGCTAATTGTACATTTGAATTGGGACTTATATTTTCACTAAGATGTTTAATATTAGATGAAGTGTGAATGATGTTAGTGTGTGGATTGTTAAATGATGTTACTGGTCTATTGAACATTGGTCTATGAGTGTCAGACATGGAAGGCTTGAACAATTGATTTAATGGTACATGATTCATAAAACGATTGTCATGATTGTGGTAGCTGGAAGGTGGTAATTTGTTTTGTAAATTAAGATTTGCCAAATGTGTTGGTAATGATCTTACAGTACTTTCTGCTTGTATCGTTGTTACTGCTGGAATTTCTTTACCAATTACTCTTCCTTCAGCAGCGCATTCTTCAGCTATGGCGCGTTCAGCTGCAACACAACGATTCATAACGTATAATTTCTCATGATCTGTATCAATAGCTCCATCATTAATAGATTCTTTACTAAACATCAAATCATGAAACGATAAACCGTATACAACATGCTTTAGTGCATCACTACTGAGGAATTTTAAATGTGGGCTAATTGAACTATCAGACCACCTATCTGAACCATCGTGTAACATATCTAGCTGCCGTTTAGTTTCAGAAATACGTGTGTCTCCGAGACTAAATAATTCAACCAGTTCTTGACGACTGAAATACCGGTAAGGATCTAAGTCCGTTTTGTTTTGGCCTGTCGATGTTGTCTGGCGAATTACAGAATCTTTGAATATTTGACGACGATAAATCTTTTCTTCAACAGTTGCACAAGTAATCAATCGGTATACAACTACATCTAATTTTTGACCTATCCTGTACGCACGATCTACAGCTTGTGAGTCTACAGCTGGATTCCAACTTGGGTCGAGAATGATAACACGATTAGCTGATGTAATTGTCAGTCCAACACCACCAACCTACAACAAAAAATCATGAAATCTGAACCGAGTCTGGATTATTTTAAGATATATTACACATTTCTATTAATGAACTTATATTTATTAAGTGAAAGTTAACGCTTTCACAAAGTTATAAAAAAGCGTAAGTGAAGCAAAACTAAAACTCCAGTTACAGCGGGAAAATGTTTTCAGAAATTAGCTACGAAGTACTAATTTCTCAATGCTATTATATAAAAATGGCTTAGTCCAGTAGGGTGTCAAAACTGCGTTGCACAAAGAGAGACAACAATTACCAAGAAAATAGATGGAAAATGGTACAGTTAATCAATGAAATAAAACAGTGTAACTTATTAATTAAACTATTACAGTCCGAGTAAGAATGTAGCAAAGATAATTTTCAATTATTTCAGAAAATCATCTTACCGCTTATCGAAAATGCAACTGAAATAATGGAGAATAATTACTTCTGATAGTTAGACTTTGATTTTTTTGGTGGGCGAGTGATGTAAAAAACTTATATTCTCCAACTGTCCATTTATTAAAGGATATCTGATCATGTTTATTTTGGGTTTAATATGTTGTATGTAAGAATGCTATATCACAAAATAGAAGTTGTAATAAAATAAATTTGTTTACGACAAAATAATTATAGCTTTTACAACTTTTGAATTTGGGTTTGTGGGTAGGGAGTCATTTTCTGTATCGTAGTAGTCATAAATTTTCGAAGACTATAATGATGCATGAAAATCACAACTAGAAATAAATGATTTTCCTACACAAAAATCTGAATCATTTTTATTTGAAGGTCCAATTGATAAGCTGGTGGAGCAGTGTACAAATTCGATGCGTAACGTAGGTTCATATACCGGTCCTCTCCTTAGAATCTTGGAGCTCACATCACTATGAATTTGAAATAAGCTTTTCTCAGACCCTTAGATCCTTGAGATACAGTTTATGATCGGTAATTACAACAAGACTAAAAATTATTTATTGTCCTCTCAAGTTTGATATTTGATTGAGTATTACACTACTAGAGTAATGAATTTGTCACTAGACTTTATAAAGTGAAGTGGACACACCAACACCTTTTAGTTGCAAGTCAGTCATAATCAACGTAAAGCTTAGGAAAAATATGAGTTATCTTAAGTTGATACATTACATCACGACGAAATGAAGTTAACAAGATGAATAACATAGAAGCTAGGATAATTTCAGTGGCAAGGATATTGACAAATATAAAACATGGGGAGTATGGTTTGTTCCAAAGAGGATTAAAGTACGATACAGGTGACGCCTCAAAACTAGAATTCTTCGCCGCACTAAATTATCCACTCAAAACTGCCGGAATAAGTGAAGAAACTCAACAGGAAATAAGACAAAATATAGTAATGCTAACTTGACAGTGGAAAGACAACATCCAACTGACTTCACAAGAACAAACAGCTTTAAAGAAACTCAAAACTAGAGAAAATATTGTCATAATTCCAGAGGACAAAGGATGAACTACAGTGATTATGGACAAGAAGAATATATCAGGCAAGTCGAGGAACTACTTGAGGATAAAAGCGTATATAGGTCAATGGACACAAATCCAATTGAAAGGTTAGACAACTAAGTTACAAGGATTTCAAACAAGCTTGTAAAGCACAACAAATATTAAAGCAAGATCAATGGAGAATGAAATCCGATGGACTAGTACTCCCTCGATCCTACGGTAGGTCGAAAATACACAAACCAAACATCCCACTACGTCCAATCGTAGCACTTTCCGGGACCCCAACGTACAATTTGTCAAGAGAAATTTTTCGGATATTGAAAAATTTAGCAGAATATAGTTTGAGAAGACAGAATGGGAAGGAATATATGAACCGAATATCTAGAGGAATATTTAAAATGAATGCGTCTCTCCCACTGTGACCAATTCTAAACCATATAACCCAACGTCTCCAGCCATGGTTCGCGGTTGTTGAACAGGCGCCTTAGTTACAAGACAGTTAAAAAGATAAATAAAGTAAATTCAGCACACAAAAACTACAGGACCCCGGCTAAGTGAAGTATATTTCGTAAAACAAATAAGACAGAAAAAATATGTCAGACTTGCTGACTTTCTGAAAAGGTGGAGTATCAAGTGACAGTAGTTTATACTGCAATGGATGACAAACGTACTGGAAAGGCAAATATCTTTCGTTTAGTGATGATTTGGGTACGAAAAACGTCGGAAACATACTTGACCAACTAAATATGCTCCGCACTGAGTATAAATGAGAAATGTTTGTAAGATTAGCGATATTATCTGGCTAAAAATTGAAACAGGTGTAGTAGACTCGAATCTTATTATATAATGGGTGGGCCACTGCTTCAATATGATCATAATTATCAATATTTCAGAAATAAACTCAAATAATACCAGTCAAAAATTCTTACCATAAAGTCATTGGTGAGTGGAAAGAACTAAAAAAAGGCTTAGTGGTAGTGTATAGTATATACGAATAAATGCTTTAGAAGTGGCAAACATCCGTTCACACTTACTTGAGTAGTTAACAGCATAACTGTATAAGATTTATCATTTTGAAATTTATTAATTATACTTAGACGATCGCATACTTTTGCAGTACGACCATCTAATCGTAAAATACGATGTTGTGTAGGATGGTGAATATTATCATCACCAAATGTGTGATTATTAACAGGACATTTTATGTCTAGAATGACTTTTTCAGCCATATCAAGAAATTTTATACTTTGTGAAAATATTAACGTGCGCGGTGAATCTCGTTGTGGATTCGATTGTAATTCAAGTAAAAACTGTTTCATCAAACAGTGAAGAAACAAGAATTTCCCAGATTCTTTAATCAGTTGTTCTGATGGTGGAAAATGTATTTTATGTGAAACAATTTCATTAATATGAAAATTATCTCCTTTGCTATCGCCATCATCATAATTTAAATTAAGATTTAAACATTGTTCAGTAGACAAGAGACGTGGATGATCACAGAGCTTTTTTAAAATTACCAATTCCATTAATGGTGAACGTTTTGTACGTTGCATTAATAATTCTTTTACATTATCAAGTTGTAAAAAATCACGATATGTGGATTCTTGTATGGAGCTTAAGTAAACCCATAATACAATTTCTGTTTTACGTGGCATTTTATCTTTTATCGGTACAACCGCATTCATATTATACTGTTGAGATAAAACTTCAGACTTTGTACGTCTTAAGAAATATGGATCTATTATACGTCGTAAACTTTCAGCCATTAATTGACCGTGTACTTTTTCAGCACGAGTAGCATCTCTCTCGCGTCCACGAGTTATTGGTTTATCATATTCAATAGAGAAAGTTTTTTGTGTACCTAGGAGTCGACCACGATGAGTCACATTGTAAAGAGACCACAATTCTTTGAGATTATTTTGTACAGCAGTACCAGTTAGGAGAATACAATGATCTGCATAAATTGCTTGAGCTGCTTTAGTCGTCTTAGCAGATGAATTTTTGACTTTGTGTCCTTCGTCCAATATTAAATAAGTCCAATGAAATTCTTTACCCATTCTAGCAAGAATATCACTGGCATCATTGTCAGTGGATTTTTGTTTTTTGTATGACCTTAAAAATTCAGGATTTGCATTTAAATCAGTCGACAAATCTCTTATGCTGGAAACAAGTGTTCCGTATGTCGTAAGTAGAATACCACCATGTCGTTGGACTGATACCAAACTTTTAAGGCGATCCGCTCGACTGTTATCATGAAAAACAATAACACGAAGTCCTGGTGCCCATCTTTTTAGTTCAGCTTCCCAAGTAACCAAAACACTGACTGGCATCACAATCAACACTGTGCAAGAAAATTTACTAGATACGAATAGGCCAGAAAGAAAAGCAATAACCTACAAATTAATAAAGAAAGAATAGTTACTACTAACACAGCCTAAAGTAAATAAATAATCAAAAATAAATAATTGTGAACATCATATTTGCACTTAAATGTGAAAAAGTGATTAGAAAATAATTTAGCTATTACCATTTATGTTATGAGTATACGTTGTTTAACACGCCATGGAGAAAGAATGTGTCTGTAGAAACACAAAATGTCTTGTTTAAAAACATTGAGTCTCTGTAGATTACTACTACCTACTTAATATTTATCAGTTCGCCTTAGCAAGTTCAAAGAGAAACAATCTACATAAGACCTATAATCAGAAATTTTCACGAACCATACATGGAGACCGCATAATCTAGTGTTTAGAATGCATCCAGTTGGTAGTGCATCTATCAAACCAGTCAGAGTTCACAAACTCCTATAAAGTTTACTTAAAATGCTTAATACCAGTGAATTAAGGCACAGTTATTACATCCTTAAAATATTTTTAGAAACCAGAAATTAAACCTGAGTCACAACGTAGTTATGTAGAGTGATATTCCAACTTATTCTTTATACGCTAACAGTCAAACACTCAGACTGCGGATGGCAAACAGATACTTTAAGTTACTTGTGATAACGTAAAGACATTTTCTCTACACAGATATGCTCTAAAAAATTAACCAATTTATTGCTTAGTAGACCTCAAATGTTTCCGAAAAGCAGAAAGTTCAACAAGTGGCGAACTTATACACCTGGTTATTTTGTACGCACGATATGTATGTAAGTACTAAGCAAGTCTTATATATCTATTCTGAAACGTTGTTAGTTACTAACTCATTAAACTTGATAAAATCACTAGTTTAAAAGTAGTGGTCAGTACTCCCAAGTAATTTGAGGATCTCTAGGCAAGAGATTAAGCTTTGATATCTGGGGTGAGGATGGGATTACTTCTGGTAAAAGACGGAATCAGGCCAAAAAAAGAACAGTTTTTCACCTAGCACTAACTAGCGCTAGGAACTCAAAACTATTTTTCTGAGAAAGATATAAGTTGCCATCAACTTGGAAAACTAAAACGTATAAAATTAAATAGAATTATACATGAGACGTTTGCTGAGTCCATTTCTAAAGTCACAATATTTAAATTCCAAAATACACTTACCTGAACTGTTTTACCTAGTCCCATATCATCAGCTAATATGCCGCCAGAATTTCTCTGATGTAAACTCCAAAGCCATTTAACACCGTACTTTTGATAATCATACAATTTATCATATAATAACTTGGGAACACTGAATCCATCAGCTATTTCGACCAAATCATCAGTGAGTATAGGAGGCTGCTTTTCATCATCATGGTCAACTGCAGTAACATTATTAGTGTGCAACTTATGATCATAGTGATCAACGGGAATTCCGTTTTCATTCAAATAATTTTCGATCCTTTCAATTTTCCGCTTTACTTTATCACATTGCTTAAGGTTGTAGGCTTTTTTAAGAAGACGAAGGCATTCAACATAGTTTCCAGATTGATATAACAATTTTGCCTTATCAATTAGAGCGAACTGAGTATCATCATAAAGCTATTTCGTTCATGAAAATTTATCAAAAACGAGTACATACCTTTTCTTCCCCTGAAGTTTCTTTCGTGTTTGAAGTACGACTAGTATAGGTTGTAGGATATGCTGGTTCAATTTCCCCAATCTTTGATTCAACCTCAGCTGATGGAACACATAGATACGCTTCCTTCAGAAGATTAGTGCTGTCAGTTATGTTACCAGGAGATACATACTTCTCAGACTCACAAACAAAGTACTTAGCAGCTTCCTGATTGGATAAGCAGTGAAAACAAGAAGAATCTTACTTTTAAAGGATTGTCAGATTTTTTGGGAGATTTTGGGATGTTCTCCTTGGTATCTTGGCATATTAAATTTTGAAGACGAACAATTTTTCGCATAAGACTAGAGGAAGGATTTATTGCGTAGGCATCCTGACAAAGCTTGAGTGACTCATGAAAATTCCCTTCCTCACATTTTAGACGCGCTTGGGTGACAAGTGAAGAGAATTCATTCTCTTGACTCATCAGGACGTAATTATTTTATTTACCACGAGATAATCTAGAAATCAAAACAGAATATTCAGTAGTAGAAGTGGAATTCGTCAGAAAAACACCAACTCGACTAAGACCTCTCTACGATTACTGACGCTCTGAAACCTAGGCAAAGGAGGAGAGTAAGCGATCCCAACCCCCGTAAAAAGGAACCTCACTAAAAAGCGCTAGCCAGAAACAGCCGCTTAGACCACGTAAATTCTGCAGTGACTTGGAGAGTCTTCATGTAGAAGAGTAATGGCCTCTCACGATAAAAGCTAACATTCTTCGAAAGTCAGATGACTGACGTCCCTCCTAAAAACCAGAACAACAATTAACATAGATAAGTGAAAAGTTCAGATACCGGGAAGACCTTTAAAATAGCGGGGAAAATGAGATATATCCTGACCCTTATTTGGATAAGCAAAGCCCATTGGACACAATCTGGATGGAAAAGACTAACTTTGGGTGAGGTGATGTTGTATTCTGATCATTAAGAAGAGAACACGCTGCAAGCACAAGAAGTCTAACATATACTGTTCAAAGAAGCATGAAGTGTTCACAGGATGGGAAACTCACAGCTGCAAGATCACCAAAGTATCCTTCAAAACAAAGAAGAAATTGGTACGTACCTGCCAATAATTGCGGTGAGGTTGAAAAATACCAATTTTATGAGACAGCCCCCAGGAAAACCTGACGATCCTGATGAGACTTAAACGCCAAGGTCTGGATGGACAACACCGAGTATGAAGGCGTCATGTGGTGACATAGACAGGGAAAAAGGGACGAGGATAGTGAGATGTTCGCAGATCTACGTGCTTTCAACAAGAGTATAGACAGAAACATTCTCCCTAATAAATGCATAAATTAGGCTGTAAGGGTTTTATCGAATCACACTACAGAAAAACACATTGGTTATGTATAGATCAATAAGAAATTCAGAAGGTCCATGGGACATAAAAACAAAGAGAGGTGCCGATGCGGCTTCAGATTACGACCTGGTGGTGACCAAGCTGAAAATGAAGCTAAAGAAGCCTTTAATAGTTAGACAAACAGCACTGAAAACGCTTAATACGGCATTCCTTTGATGAGCTAAAAAGCATAATGAGTTCAAGATAGATCCCACTAACAAGTCCCAAGCCTTATGAGATCTACTAAAAAAGAGGGAATCACTATAGAAAGAAACTGGAAAGGGATGAAAAAAGCAACAACTTCAACATGACAAGAGGTGGAGGATCCCAAGAAGCACTATTATGAATAACGGACCTCTGAAAACAGCCTAGGCACGTTTCAAGAAACAAAAAACAAGAAGCTATTAGTCAATAACAGATGAACAAAAGTAGAGAAAGCCAAGGTACAATCAGAATATACGGGAGCAAACAAATGAGAGAAGAGGATTGAAGTTGATAAGTGGAAATATGTGGAAGACCTAGTAACTACTTCAGAAAAAGCAGTGAGAGAAGGAAGTGATCAATCAAGAAAAAAGAGATAAAACTAATCACTGAGAGCAGGGAAACATGTGGACAGAAAACTTTGAAGAGCTCTTGAAAGGACCAGCCCCACGGAACCCGTCGGACAAAAAAATAACACAAGACCTATCTATAAATGCTACCATTCAATTTATTTTTTATTTATTTAAACACATAAATATTGGTACAAGGAAGCACCAGATACTTATGCGCCTCACAAATCTCATTCGATTTGTGTGAGGGCTGTAATACTGCCCAGGTGCCCAGACTGAAGCAGGTGGTTTTCTTAGGGGGCCGCACCCGGAGCCTTTGACCTAAAGGTCTAATCCACAAGGCAGTGGAGCATCGTGAAGAGATGTAGTCCCATGGTAGCCTATGACCAACAGTTGGTTCACACGCCGTTCGTTCCTTCAGGATACTGGAGCCCATGTGCACCATTGGTTTGGAATCAGGGTTTTCCAACTCCCCTAGGTGGACTCGCCTTGTCCACCGACCCGGTTAAAGCATTGGACATTCGCTTTTCGTCCTCTCACTTTTGTGAACAACACCCCTGCCACGAGAAGGCAGTGAGTAGGACTTCCCTGGCAGAGGCTATATATTCGCTGGCCATATGAGAGCATTTCGAGAGGGAGAGCAGACTCTCCTCACTCTCGGCCATACCAGGGCATTTGGGGGCGCTACCATTCAAGCAATGAAAGAAACCAACGTAATCAGACAAATCAAGAGTGGCAAAGCAGCAGGACCAGACAGCAAACAAGCTGAAGAATTAAAGACACGGAGACAACTGTAAGCATGTTCCACGTTTTTGTTTTAAAGATCTGTAAGGAAGAAAAGGTAGGTATCGGTATACTGGAAAGAGGAACATGTCATCGAAATACCAAAGAAAGGGGATCTCAAAAAGTGTGAGAACTACAGAGGCACTACACTATTATCAGTATCAAGGAAAACATTATATGGGAAAACTATATTTTGAATAATCTCAGAGATTGAAATTTAAATAGTTCTAATGTTTCGACCAGCAAACTTGTTTGGATTTTCTCGGGGTAATAATCAAAATTATCAAAGAACATATAATGTTTAGCAATAAAATCAAATATATACTGTGTATATCCAATCATATTCAGATGTTGACTTTAGTAAGTAGGATAACATGATTCACTTAGATGTGAAGCATGTGGAAAGTTTATAACATGAAGATAAATGAATGAGCGACTTGTGTGTGTGTAATTTTAAGTTATCAACAGCTGATATTAGGTGTTATAGAGTTCAATTACATGTTCATGGACATTTTCCCTTTCTGTAAGCTGTTGACTGGATCATGAAGATCTCTACACCTCAGAAGAAGCAAGAGATATAGTGGACAATTCGGAGGCACCAGGATGATTTGGACTTGGTAGATGAAGAACATCTGGAGCTCAAAAGAACGGTCACTCAACATCACAGTCAGGCTCTTCAAAATCATCTTTAAAACAGTTCTATTTCAAGGAGCTGAAACTTGGACAACTACCACCACTATCACCAAAAAGTAAAGGCATTTATAAACAGTTGTCCGAGCAAGATGCTCAATGGTCGGATACCATCAGAAACAACCTGCTATGGCAGTAGACAAATCAGCTCTCAGATGAATAGGAAATTGAGAAAAGACGCTAAAGCCGGGTAGGAAGTAAATTCCGGAAATTATCAAACTGTATCACAAGGCAAACCCTAAAATGGAATCTTCAAAGCAAAATGAAAAGAGGTATATCAAACGACATGGCCCTGGGAACCGGACTCAGACGTCAAAAGAATGAATAGCATCTGGAATCAACAGGAAAGGAGAACCCACGACAGAACTACTTGGAGATTCTTGGTAGATGGCTTATTCCCTAACAGGAGTAATAGGCTTAAGTAAGAAAACAAAAACCTGAAATAATCTCTATGAAATATTATTCAGGATAGCAACAGTTATATTTATAAATGAAAGTAGTGTGCTGAATGGAGTCTATCAACAAAGGCCCTATACACAGCACTAGACAACAAAAGAGGGATGGGAAGCCATTCAGTCACAACATAGAACCCAGTACATATTTGCATCGGTTCAAGTTGTCATACCCTATTAGCACAGAAAGATAAAACTGTCAGGCCGAATCCCAGAATAGTAGAGGTAGTAACAGTAGGAGTGGTGATTGAAAAGATTAGGTATTGAAGATACGATTTAAGAAAATATAAACTGATGAAGTAAAAACACAAAAAAAGGTTATGAGGTATTCAAAATTTGGGAGAAGACAAATATGGGATGCAGATGTGTCGTAGTAAACGATTTTGAGCCATTTTATCCAGTCTATAATCACTAGTTACGACAATAACAGATTTTGAGAGTCCTCGTAAGTATAGCTGTTACATTTATCAACAGAATGGGTACATTTAAACTACTCTACAGACACTAATGGACAGTTAGATTGAATACTGCGGTAAGAACAGTAAATGATCAGGATACATATTCAGCTTTCAGTTTGCAATTGATTTCCCACTAACTGCTACTTACATGTGACGGAAGATAAGTTCTGCCATTAGCTGTATTAAACCTAAAATATCGTGTTCAAGTGCTATGGTATGACAACTTGTGCCAACGCAGATCTGTCAGGTTCTACATCAACGGTAACTGACTAAAAGTTAAAGTGAGTAGGCTAGACCAGAAAAATCAATATAATTTAATAAACAAGTAACAAATAGTGTCTACCGGCCACATTGAGAGGAATTTTTATGCCTGGAAATTCATATTTCCCCAATGATGAAAGCAAACAGATTACAATACCATGTCATCACTAAAACCATTTGATAAAAGGCTGTCGCTCCCTATAAAAATCGTAGAATGGTACTAAACCCAAGATTTAGAAGACAAAGTATAAATGTAACTAAACAATTGTTATTCATTTCACACCACTTTAATTACAGATTCGGTGAACGAATCAAACATGCTCATTGAGGCATGTGTTACGCATTTATAGCAACTTCTTTACTCAACTAGGAATCATGATTGGAGTAAGAGTAGGTTGGAAGAAGACTAAGAACCTTTATTTCAAAACAATGTATAGCTTCACTTCATGATCGATCTTGGGTCATATTAAGCTGCAGGCTTCCTAAAAATAATAATATCGGAAACGCTACCCTATAGTTGGAGGGAATGTTACATAGCTATAAACGATTTGTATTGTTGATGTGTTCATACTTTATTTTGCCTCTAACTTAAAAGCCCTATTATTACATTTACTTCGTCCCAAAACTTAACTCCATCGCTCTACCGTGTGTTTATCGTTTTTATATGCTCACTACTTACAGTACATAAATTTGGAGAGCTTTGTTTTCCATACAACTGATTCTATCCTGTTGTGTTGATGAGGTGAGACTTCGGTTGGAACACTTATGTACAAGGTCCAATATCGGCTGAAAATTAGATGGGAGCTACCCTCTGGAAGATATAATCATGTTTTATATTTGGGAGCTTTAGAATTTGACGTCCCCTCGTTTTACTCATGTCTGTGTTGTTTGTTTACTTTCGCTGATTTTCTGTTGTTAAAAGCGCAACAATCTAAAATGGAGCAATTAGGTTAGAATTCTACGTTTATTAGGTTACCATGTGCAGAATAGTAGTTTTGATAAATAAAGCCCATAAAAATACTAGCTACACGGAATTTCATTATGAAGGAAATTTCCCATCCTGAATATGTGCGTCCTGGGAAACTGCAAATATCTAAAAATAACTAACTACGAATACACAAATGTAACTCAAAAAGTGAGAGTACCAAATTCTTATTCATTAGTTCATTCACCACGTAAAAATTCGTGTACTGGACGAGGTTCGAACCTGCGACCTACTTGATGAAAGTTGAGCACCACTGACTCACCGCCCAGTAAATAACTTCATGAACTGATGGTACTTTTCGGTTTGTCTGCTCCCAGCCTTCTTTTAACCTACTACTCAACGCTGGTGTGTATATCTAGGTGGACGGTTGTTAGACGTACGTAACACACCAACCACTTATTGATAAAGGTAAGACAACAGAAATAAACTCGTGAGCAGTTAATAATAATATTCCAATGCTAAATTACAATCAGGTCTCGGTACGGTAAATTTGCATTAATTACTATCATTCGATGTTTTCAGTCGACAGTGAGTACTAAGACAAACTGAGTTATTAATACTATAGTAACTGAGTCAGAGCCTATGAAAAACTGACATTAGGATGGCTAATAGCAAAATGGTGTTTGTAAAGGTTACTCAACTTTCCCATTTCTATCTTTATAATAGACATTCATTTACAGACTAAGCTATCACTATTTGATTTTTCTAAAGATTGATCTACAACTGGGAGGTTCACTTGTTGACTTACAATACTCAGACGACGAGGTTAATCAGTTTTGAGAATAAGGTTCCATAGCTAATTAAGGACAGAAAATCCTACCGAGCTATAGACTGTAGTTGTTCCACATATTTATTTGACACTAACTCGCCTGCTTACATTTGCCATATCGGAAATAAAATGAAAAGACTACGAATGTCCTTTAACATACAAATGCAGTGACGAGATTATAATGTATGGACGAATTAATCAGATATATGATAACAGGTCCACTTGACCAAACAGTGTTAGGCATGGTAGTTGATGTCAGTTCGTGATCGAAACCCTAAATCTAATTCCTCACCCTAACCATCTACTGTAAATCATAGCTCTAATTTCTCACACTGGCTTATAACCCTAATTTAGTCTTCGTAGGTGGACATGAACAAGGTCACTTTAACGTCGCTCAAAAGTCGTCCATAAATTGGTCTCACCAATGCAGTCAACGTATTCTTCTCCTATAACTGTCAACTAAAACTGTGATTCAGCACCGTACAAACGTCGCCGACCTGACCACAATATATCGAATAGTCCTGATGTCAATAGCTTCCGGAGCGATTAAAGCATTCAATTTATGTAGATGACTACGAAGTAAATCCACCAAGTTTGGCAACACTACTGCGTTTGAAGATGAAGTCAACCTAACGTTTACCTTAAAATGATGTTAAAGCGCGTGCCAACCCACAAAAAAAGTCATAATATCAAACTGACAATTTGTCCTACACTTTTGAGCATTCGACAAGTATATCTTATACACTCCCAAATTAACTCAGAACTTAACGTTGATTACTTCCTAAGGCAAAAGCGGCTGGGTAACCTCAAAAAATTCATTTTTATTCATTAGTAAGGATCACAACTGATTATATATGTATTATTCATGCTTAGGTCATGAGTACTGGTTTCTCTTTAGATGAAGACAACTTATTTCCCTATAACGCGTTAATAGATTCTATCTCAGCTGGTTAACTCACTTTAATTTTCGCAGTTCTCCCTAAATAATTCTAAGGAACATATAGGACACACTAACGATGTTTCGAGGTGGGTTGACCAACTAAATAGCTGACTGAATATCTACAGTCGAGCTTCGAAACGCAGGCGCTTTAAACCAGACCCACATAAAACCACTCTGTAAGCTACTTCAGTAAACGAAGCTATACTTAGATGATTCATACAATAATATGCTTATCCAGAGTAAATATTGAGTGATAAAAGTATATATATTAATACTGAGCCAACACTAGTTCCCTCTAGTTTTAAAAACACAGCATGTGCAAACAAATGCACAACTAAACCACAAGGAACCCTGAAAAATATATTTTAAGAGCACTACATAGCCTACCGTGTAACAAATCAACAGCCAATCCCGGTCATCAACAGTTTGGAAATGAAATTACCGCTTCTTCGTTTCGGCAACCTTGAGCGGCTTCGCCCAAGGCGGTCATTCTGTATACGCAGTGCCTCATGTCGATACTGTTTGTAGGTTAGCTCAACTTAGTATAATGTGTGTTTTCGGAAGACCCGTATATTTCAGGAAACGCCGTAGGACATTGTAGCTGTAAATAATTCCCCAAAATCAATAGCTCATTAAGTGTTCGACATTGGGTGCTGACCACGTTGCTTAAGTGGACTTGTTTAGCTGAAGGCTTTCGGTCATGCATCCGTACCAGATCACGTTGCAACACGGCGTGGGACACAGCTCCTACGTTCATTAGCCAGCTTATAGTAAAGGTTCCTCGATATATTGGTAACGTATCAAATATATTTTTCCTACCTCTTCTCGTCTGAATTCTGGTTTCTATTCGACTGGGAAAGAACGATTATAGAAGATACTACTGGTTGCTAGTTGCAAAACTAGAATATCCGTGGTATCCTCAACATATTTCCATGTGTGTTGTGTTTTTTTCTGTCTGTCAGCTGAAAAAAACTTCAGTGTTGCACTTTTTGTTCGTCGACCAGTAGCTAAATATATGTGGGTTTATATATTACATCCTTCTGTGAATGTCATGATTTTCCCCGTGAACGAGGAATTCCTGGTAAGTGCAAGTCATAAGCTTGCGCTGATTACTTCCCTGCCCTTTGTACACACCGCCCGTCTCTACTACCGATTGAATAGTCTAGTGAGGTCGTTGGATTTGCGTCGTTGTAGTTGCTTTGCCGCTCGACTGATGCTGAGAAGATGACCTAATTTGACTATTTAGAGGAAGCAAAAGTCGCAACAAGGTTTCCGTAGGTGAACCTGCGGAAGGATCATTAACATGAACCCAAAATATATAATGACGCATGCACCTCGCTTCGCGCTGGACTGCATGTACCCTGGCTTAGTGGAAATTCACCCTAGGCTTCAGTGGTTATTTTTTCAGTATTAGTACTGCTTTAAGTTCTTTTGAGTGTATTTTAACCGACCTAACGTATACTTTTCGAAGGACAATCCTATCTCAAAGGCTTTTGGCGTGGAATGAATTCAAAAATTCACTAAAAGATTCGCAGAGTTTCAGAAGAGCGTAATTTTGATTGTTGCAGGTGACGTTTACTCATGATATCCACTTACAATGTAGGCACTCCATTTTCCTGTGATTTATCCTAGTAAAAATATCGAGCAGCTGCCAACACCAGGACAACAAACTAGTACTGGCTATTGTCGTTACCAACAAAATGGATATTTACTTTGGTTACTAAGACCCTCAGATAGGTGTCACAGAAGCCAGTTTATTTAAACATATCTCATGATGATTTTCAATGTGTAATTATCTCTTGTGACGTGCAAAAAACCTGAATTACAACACCCGTCGCTTGTACTATTCATTTTTCAAGAGAGTTCGCACTTTGAAAAGTGAATAAAGAAAATATGGCTATAAATAAAGACTGTAATCTTAAATTACCACAAATTGTTCTGTGGAACCGTTAGTTAATTATACCTATATTGCCTTTAGTTCCATATAAGGTATAAATAATAGCCAGTCCGATTTTCAACGAGCTTTTGTGGACTTCCAAAGACCACGAATGATCTCCGACAACTTTGTCACTTTGAATTTTATGAACAGTTGTCAGTGTAGCTGTAAATAATTCCCCAAAATCAATAGTTCATTAAGTGTTCGACATTGGATGCTGACCACGTTGTTTAAGTGGACTTGTTTAGCCGAAGGCTTTCGGTCATGCATCCGTACCAGATCACGTTTCGACTCGGCGTTGGACACAGCTCCTACGTTTCATTAGCCAGCTCATAGAAAAGGTCCTCGATATATTGGTAACGAATCAAATATATCTTTCCTGCCTCTTCTCGTCTGACTTCTGATTTCTATCTGACTGGGAACAATCGAATTTAGAAGGTGCTATTGGTATCTAGTTGTAAAACTAGAACATCCGTTGCATCATCATCAGAACTTACAAAGTGATTACTGACTTTTCGGTTCTTGAATGCAGCTTCTGGAGTATGGTCTATGTATGTAGACCGACATCAGCCTTAAAAGTTTCGACGGTAAGTTCATTCAGTGAACTGTGTAGTTTACTGGTTTGATACCAGTTTCCAGCATAGAAACTACGGTTACGAAGGAAAAAGTCAAATCCCTTCATCAGCGTCTCTGGATCATCTGTTAATTTTGTGATTACTCTGCGTATTATTGTAGAAGATAAGACAGCTTCAAATAGCCTTTTTACATAAACGATTGTTGCTAACCCTGAAATGTAAGAAACCTTTAAGAACAAAGGACCTCGCCGCAAAACCAATACTATGTCTTGCGTTTATCAATAAATCATCTCCCTGGTGGTACTGTCGTCCTACCACTCAGTGCAGTCATTTACCTTAAAAACGCCTAAATAAGCGTTTATACTCTAAAAATAAATGTCTACATGCAATCACCAGCTCCAGCGTTTATTTTGAACGGCTCCAAATGCGCCATGATAACACATAAAAATCCACGAAAACACCTTGATCTATCTTTTTTACAATGTTGTCACCAACTGCAAACAAACCGGACAAAGGGAATGTCAACAACGCATACTGCAATTTTGATGCGCTCAAGCAACATATATATACCATACTGCTGAGAAAATAGTTTTTACTTACTTGGCTGAGAACCTTTTTCAATGCATTCTCTTAATAGTTAATCTGAATATGACTTGATAATCGGGAGTATTAAATGTTCCTAGACTCAGTTTGTATGTCGAAGCATACAACTGAAGATGCACACTCGTACCTGCTTATCTTTTTGACTGTAACTTGTGCCCATTCAAACTCGACTAGACTGATTTTATCCGCAACTTTGAGTAGACAGATAACTAAAACTGTTTCACGACTGGTGCTGGGGGTTAAGGAGAACTTTTGATAAAGTGACTGTTCTTATCATCAGAACTAACCGAAACGCATTAACATTTAGCTTTCTACCATTCACACGGTTTACGTGTGACTGTTTGCGGTTTACGGTGGTCACATCGATTTTCATCTTGTTTGATTTCGTTGTTTTAGTATAACCGAGCGGTATAAAAGTCTTGAGGATCGTCTTATGAGATCTATATATTGTTTGCTGATAGTCTGTTCACTGCATCTACACAAAGCCATCTATTTTCATAGATGATTTACCTCTAAACACCTGCCACATGGTCTTTGGACGGCGAAACACTCCTTCTAGTGGGAATTTCGGTTTACAGCTAAAAATAAAAGCAATAGGTGACTGGTATACATAAAAAATATAAGGTTTAGAACCGTAGATCTCAAAGACAAGTACGGTACAATACGACTAATCATTAAAAAACGTTCAGATTTACTGCATGGACTATGAACGACATTATGTATAATAAAATCACAAAATATGTTCAGATAGAAATTCTAGAGGGTTTATATGGTCTGAGGTAACAGAAATGAATGACTTCATATCAGCATCTGAACTATGGTATCTTGTGAAAAGAAATTAGTAGTTTTCAGATTGGAAAACATCAGCCATCCTACCCAATCTAACTCACCAGCTTCATAGATCATTCCTACTATTGCATCCATTGACCACAAAGACTTGAGTAGCAAATTTTCAGTTTCTGAAGTTGTGTAATTGACAAGCCAGGATTATTGGGTAAGTTCATGTGGCGACTCATGACATTGCTTGTATTAATCAGAATAACATTAATCTATTTTTTGTATGACGTTGAGCTTAAGTTTATTCCTCATAGTAACATTCTAGTTAGGTCGATGTTGACTTCATACTTTCCATGTGATATTGTATGGGGTCAGTGCCTCGGATTAATCGAATGGGAGTCTTTGTTCAGTGTGACAAATGTTCGTTTTCCCTAAATCAACAATTATGTCCGTTACATTACTCCCTGTGACTTTTGATTGGGTTGACAGAAAACATGTGCATCATGACACTCGTATGATGCTCATTAATTAACCTTCAAGAATGTGTAAGACCAATATATAAGTGGGTCATTTAATCCAACTTAGTTGTCTTGTTTCGAAGTAAACAAATCTTGATTTTACCGGTGTTTTGTTTACGCTGCGTTGTGGGAATTGTAGTGACTCCTTCTTCTCAATTATAAGTAATAGAACTATGGACATAACGGTGATGATTTGGAAATTTTACCCGCGAACAATTACGACTTACAGATCGTGTTGATTTCCAGATTATATCACTACCTTCCGTTGCAAATTGTTCCAATTATAAGTGTTAATGCATTTTGTGCGCATACCGAGCTGTCATCTCAGATTATCTGCTGCTTTTTGCTCTCCTATATTTCATTTTGGATATATTGCCAGATCACTTCGTTCTTTTTTACCATGAAAGCTGACAAATACGTGGCATAGGCAATAAATTTACAGATTTTTTGGTCACACTTGATTATACATTTTGTGATATGAAAAGCCCTAAGTATTTCAAGATTCACCTGGAAAACCATTTGTTGATGAAATTAAAAATGAAAAGGGAACTCATACTTACGGAACATATATGGTCAGTATGATTTCAATAAGTGTGAATTTCAAGTCGTCACTTAGAAGTTGAAGATGAAATATTAACTGGCATCCACGAAGTAGAGACATGCAACTCAAATTTATTTTTAAAAATTGAACAGCGCTGTCTTCCTAATACACGCAGAGGCAATGTCATATGATATGATTTTTTGAAGGCTGCTATTTACTATCACTACATGGATTTCTGAAGCAAACACCCAATGTTTCTGAATAGACATTACATCTATATGTACGAACGTATATAACCGAAACTATTTTCGAAATGAATTAAATTTGTACTTTTTGAACGCTAGTGACACCATTAACACCGCAACGACTGAAATCCCTGTGTTCTGCCTGAACGCAGAACTAACGAACCACATTTTGTGTAATTAGGTCAAACTACTTTCTTCATTATGGCTCACGAAGTGATGTTGAGTTACTCGTAATAATATGTATCGAAACACAATCTCTTTGCCTGATTTAAAC